TCATCCATTGCAATCACAAGTGCTAATAGGGTTAGAGAACTATAAAACAACTTCTTCCAAACGCCAACCTCAGCTGAACGCAGTCATCATCACATAATCATTACAGCCCATCACAAGTGTACTACTGAACATAGGAATCCCACGAGTAATGACAAAAAGCACGGTCCTGAGCCACCTGCATCCATCGACCTCCATGTCTCACCGGGTCGTGACTTCTTCCACTAGGCGGCCTAAAGGCACTAAAAAACGTTTCTTCCCATAGATTGTCGGTTCTTCGGGCTATATGGTCGATCGCACGCAGTATATCCTACTAATTAATGAACGAGGCTTGCATACGACATTTCGGTATATCTATTTGAAAATAATCCAAAATTTTGCAGAATTTTAATGGAAAATAGCGTCACTGTTGGAAATGTCTTGACCATCGAGTGTATATCTCACCAATGAGCCTATCAGCGTATTGAGCTATGATCTACGAGTAAATCTTTCAAATTATACAAGTAAATGCTATTCTTCACCTTCACAATTTCTTTTTTTTTAAAATACCTTAACCGTTTCCCTGTCCCACGAACCATATATGAACATTTCGATTGTTTAACAATTGTGTCTGTGTTTCTGTGTTATCGTTTTTACAAATTTAGGTACCATTGTTGCTTTTTATGTCGCGATTAGGTTTGTGAACATGACATCACATTTATTTATCTAGATTAATTATTCGTTTAGAAAAGTACTATACTTTTTTAAACTTACTGAGAATCGGGGCTAGTCATTGCGTAAGTTGCCTTAAATGGGTATATATCTTTAAACATTACAAAATTTTTCTTTGTTAGGAATCACACGAATTTAGAAAATTATTTTTAAAACCCTACATAAGCAATATGATAGATGTCAAAACAAGGCGTCAAGCTTTGGCGTCAAGGCGTTCTGAATTCTTAGATGACACGTAACACGTACCTATGTACCAAGTGATTATAATAATATACTCTTTGTTGTTCTTGTTCTGTTCTAGACATAGATTTAGAATATACTAGCGTTGTTCTAGAGCTGAAGTTTTAATTGAATTTTGTGTCCCTATAAATCTCTTGACTAATAAAGTCACATTGTTAAGACCCCCCCGACTCTCGGAGCTCTACAGTGAGCATATCTTTGCCGGATCCGGCTAAGCTGGCTTCGGTCTTAGAGCCGTTCAGGCATAATCCAACGGATGGTGACTTCGCACCACCGGCCGCTCGGCCGAGAGCATGAACCCAATGCCCGAAACTGTGGTTCCTCTCGTACTAAGCAGTACGAGTATTACTATCACAACGAGGAGCCATCCGCCTACTCTTGTTATTGTTATATCGAACTTATTTTCAACAAATTAACAGCAACAAATCATCAATCAAAATATAGTTTATAAATAATCTATGATTTAGTGCATATATTTTGTAATTTAAAGCGCCTTCTGTGAGAGTTTTCTGATGTATCAACAGCAGCAGAAGTGAGAAAAAAATGGGAGAAGTTTATTTACTATTATGTATTTATTAGAATATATTTTTAACGTTACCGTGATTTAAAACAACGCAAGCTGAGTTTTAAGGTAGAAAGTAAAACTGCGAATGCTTACTACAATTCTATTTAATACGTCTGCATTTCTATTCTTTAAGCAGAACTTAATCTAATTTGTTAGGAGAACTAGTACCTACTTTACTATTACCGCATTTTGTAATTTTTTTTTAAATTTATTTATCAGATCAAAAGAATACAGCAATAGGTTTAATTAATATCTAAAAACCACGGAGGTTTGATTTACTGCTAAATAATTAAGTTTAAGTCAGCATATTATGTACAAAACACAGTCTTTAGTTAGGTATGTGAGTAGGTAATAAGTATAGTAAGAATATAAAGAATAAGAAGGTAAGTTAATAACTTAGTTAGAGTCAGTAGTAGCAAGGTAAAAGTAAGAACTAGGCAGGTAGGTACGTTATTGTCAAGTAAGTAGATATAGTAGGTAATTATAATTTAGATAGGAAAAAGCTTTTGAGTTTAGTTTTAATGTTTTGTTTTGATATTTTTTCGCGTACATCGAAAGGTAAGTTATTTATTAAATGCGGTACCTGTAAGCGGCCGTCCACTGCCCGCTGTACACATTATTAGCAGTGATGTGCCGGAGCCGGTTTTGTGTCATAGCGCGCGTACGTACAGGTTGTTCTATGTATGACTTTATATTATCGCAAAAGAAATATTGTTTTAATAACATTAATTTAGCTTGGTCATAAACTGGTAAGATTTGACAATGTTTGAAAATCGCATTTTCACCATCATTAATTAAGACACGCATATTTGGGTTACAATATTTTTAGAATTCTAAATTGAAGATCATAGATCTGTTTTAAAAATATGATTTGTACGTCCGACCATTGCTTGACAAGTCTTAGTGAATATATAAGATTCAGCCAGAGAGTTGTAAAGCATAAGTTTTACTATGAACGGTATGCGATTTTTTAAGATTTTTAAGGGCTAAAAACTGACGCAACTTATTACACATATGTTCAATGTGGTAGCTCCAGTTAAACTTTGAGTAATTATAAGATCGAGGTATTTTTGTGTGGCCACAACTTCGATTGTAGGACATTGGCAAGTTCCTAGTTGATGGAGGCAATCGTTTTTTTTTATAGGATAAGGGTGACAAACGAGCACACAGTCCAACTGATGGTAAGTGGTTGCTGCAACCCATAGACATCTACATCTATCCTCTAATTAAAATGTAGATGCGTTGTCACCCGTGAGGACTAAGATGGAATGCCTCATTTCCAGTAAAAAGGGCCTCCGGGCACCTGCACTCACCAAGCGAAACGTAGAGGTAAACCTCTACTTCACGCTGGTTTTCTATGAGGTCGTGGTACCACCCCGGTTCGAGCCGGCCCATCCGTGCGACAGAAAAAGCTGCCGCGTCGCTCTACCACTGTTCGTGATTATGAACAATTAATAGTTTTGGAGTACGATACCTCATGTATGGGGATTTGATAATCATGACTTTGGTTTTATCGGCATTTAACACTAGACCAACGTCAACGCACCATCGTATTAACATATCCAAATCGGCCTGAAGAGCATTACACGCATTTGAAATATCCTTACCCGAGACGAGAAGACACGTATCGTCTGCTAATTGGTAACAGGAACTGTGTTTCAGAAAGTTACTCACCTTATTGAATAAGATAAAAATTGCAATTGGTCATGGACTCATCCTTTGGCCATGCCTTCTGTCACAATCTTAGGGTCACTGAACAAGTTATTTAATTTAACCGTAAGTGTACGATTTTGGAAGTAATTTCTACATCAATTGAGCAAAGAACCCTGGATACAACAATCAACCAGTTTCCATCCACAAAAATCCGAAATAACACGACCGTTATTGTTGTGATTTTTAAGTTTAAAAAAGTAAATAGCAATAATATGATTAAAAATTACTTATACAAGGATATTTTGCATTAACCCGCCGAGAAGGGTTATTACAAAATAATAGAGAAGCAGAAGAAGAGATGGTTCAGAATAAGTAATATAGGCAAATGCCGAAGAAAAATTAATTTAATAAATTTCAAATATTGTCATTTTTGTCTTTTAAATTCAAAATTAGTGAATGCGTAATGCATTATTTTAACTGACTACAATTTTTCAATTTGGGAAAATCTATAATATAAAAATGCATCGCTGAATGTGTTGCTAAGCGCAAATCTCGAGAGCAGCTGAACCGATTACGCTAAATTTTTTTTAAAAATATTCCTTGAAGAACGAAGATAATTCTTAAGGAGAGAAAAATTTAAAAAATTGTCTGAAAAAGTCTAAAAACATCACTTTTCTATATTCCCATACAAAAGATTCGTAATAATACTTAAAAGTCAATTTGAACTTTAATACCATACCATAAAGTTTAAGTGTTAGTGGAGGGGTTCCGGGAAGGCAACACAATTGAGTGACGTTAGTATAGTATAAATATTAATGTCAATATTTGTCAATAGTGGTTTATAATTTTTATTTTTTGACATTATGTAACTGTTTACTTATCAGCTTTCTTTTTTCTTTTTTTATCTTACTAGCTGACCGGGTGTCCCGAATAGTAGAATAAGTATTAAAAAAAAAAGAATCGACTGTTAGGTGGAACGAAGATCGCCGGGTCAGCTAGTTTCAAATAAAAGTAGAAACCTTGCTACTAGTATTTTCAAAAATGCAATAACAATAATTTATATATTTGAACTTAAGTTTGAAATTTGGCTAGTCTATGAAAAATAACCCTGTTTATGAAAAGTAACGCCATCTTGTTGTAAATTTAACGTAGCAGATCTCATTTTTGAGCAAAAAAAAAAACTGAATAATTCGACATTTTCAAAGACACCGATTCAGTGTGGCTGCAACTAGTTTTATTCTATACACGCACAACACATTGTACAATACGAATGGCTACTCACTTCGGTCTGTTGGTGACGCGTGTTGCTCTATGGCAATTCTCTGCCAAATATGCGATTATCTGGTCGTCACAAATAATATATAAATCACTACATGAATCGTTTATTCGATTCGTATGCATGGTACATCAACAACCGTTCCACTGCCCGGAGAAGAAACAGAAAACAACTAGTCGAGTGAGGCGACACAAAATGTATGTATATGTAGGTATATTTCTAAATTATAAGCAATTTAGGAACTAAAAGTACATTTCTCGATCGTGATGATAACGATATTCACAAAACTTAAAAGCTCAAAACCAAAATTTTCAGAATTGTGATTTAACGGTACACTTGTTTAGAAATTGGAAAATAGATATAATGGGTTATATGCTGTTATAATGCTCCGGTAGCGTTTTATATATTTGCTTAACTTATGAAATGGTAGTCATAGTATAGATTAACCAACCGAGAAATAAAATATAAGCCACATAAATATTTTTATTGTCACAGCAGAATCAATATAAAATAATCACAATGTTAATTATTAGGTATTAGATACCTTCTAACAAAAAATTATGATTCTATGATTTCCATCATACTTGTGTAGCAGCCAGCCATAAGACAAGCCATACCAATTAGTATAATAAAAATGTCACGTATTAATTTATAATGGCACAAACCATAGCGATTGGGATACCATAAGCACAGATCCATTAAACCCGGAAAAACCATTGCCAGCAGAGATAGACAAAATGCTCCAAACAAAGAAATAAATGGTCCGAGGTGAGGTACAGCGACTGCAAGTAGCCCTGTAAAATATATATTTATATCAATTGGATTGAAATTTTTAAGCCGAGTTGTATGTTAAAGTGCTTTACTTCGGGTACAGAAATGACAACAAGCAGATTTTCTCATTATATTATAAATTAAATATTTTAAATGTCCTATCGGATCAATAATTGATTCTCAATTTTACTACTCGATTTAATTCATTGGGTGTCGTAATGCAATAGAGGGAAACAAACTAGGAGATGGGCAGCAGCATCTGTCTAGAAATTAAAAATTGAGGTTGCCAACCCGCGTGCCGGTAGTCCAACTTTGGAAAAATCCCCCTTATGATGCTCTTATACAGTGAGGCCTACGTTCAGTGCTGTTGCTGGACTTTGATAGGCTGTGTGCGGAAAGCTATCGTCGACCAGCCTTAAGGGTGACTAGCCATCTGTCCACGTCCAGTCTACGAGAGCTTGCGCAAGCACAGGTGCACACTCTATTTTTTCTACCACTACTACTACTATGTCGAGAGTAGAACACACCTATAACGCTTTGCGTTATGAGGCGTGCAATAGCCTTTTGTGCACTAGGTGGTAAGTTGTAATGACTACTTTCTGCTTTCTCTGTGGTTGTCTGAGTAGATATTAAGAGGATCAGAGAATAATTACGTGCGTGAGAAATACCACTTTAGTCCTAGAAAATATTAGATTACATACAATATGTACATACCACCAGATAGGCTGTTAAGTCCTTTGTCATTTTTATATGGCAAAATAAATGTTACTTTGAAGACTATGTTAATAATTTACACATATTCAATTGTTACAGGGTATAAGGACAAGCGCCACACGCAGTGCATAATCAGGAAAGCAGCGTCTATTCTCCGGAATCCTTTTCTGAAGTTTTCGCCACACCATGCTGTACGCGACGTAGTTTTGCAGCGGGAAGGTTAAGAAAATTGCCAATGCAAATATGACTTTTGCTGCTTGCGCCTTCCTGAAATAACATAGTGTATACATTGCACCATTAAAACATAATATTTTGTAGTTTAATATAGACCAACGAACAAGCCATAACACATAATAATGAATTGAAAGTTGAGATGAAATTGTTTAAGTTCATTCGCTATTACTAAGTATATAACAGAGCTTAAAAATTATTTTTGAATTTAATAAAAAAAAAGACGCATATTGATCAAACAATAGTGCTGTAGGACTATTTGGACGGCCCGCAGTAGCTTGGTTACGTATAAATTACATAATTATACGCAATTAGCGTCAAACACGTAGTTGACCACTTACACCTGGTTTGTGTATTATCAGTGTGTAGTAAATGTCCAAACCATGTGTTTACATCTGAAAACGCTTGTGATTAATTTTTATGAACTAGCGCTAGTAACTACCGCATCGCGTTCAGATGAGACCATGGGAAATGGTCTGGCAACGTTCGAGTAGTGTGGGGGCGAAGATGTGATGAGGGGAATACGTGTCGCGCTTGGGGAAGGACTATACTAAGCACAACAATGCAACACACTCGCACTTTTACAAAAACTACTTATCGTTACCGATAGAGCCCATCAAAAGTCCACTGCAGATAATAGGCTTAACCCATAGATTGCTTCAAAGGGGAGATATTTGTTGTAGTTGCCACGTTGGGCAGGCGGGTTGGTAAGCGCAGTTTATTTTGCCGATTTTACCAAAGGAAGACACGGAGGGTATCCGTACCCGAAGTCAACGCCAGCAGGAGACGGACCAAAGACAATTTCGTGGTGCAACGCAGCAGACGTCGTAGTGCCAGCTGCTGACAACTGAGTCTGGCCAGTCAGCAGCCCCTGCAACTGCAGCACCTGACTTAGGTGCTCTGATGATGATGCTGCAGGAGCAGGCTCGCCAACAGGAGGAACAGGCTCGTCGACAAGAGGAACAGGCCCGCGACAGGAGGAACATGTCCGTCTACAGGAGGAACAGGCCCGTCGTTTGGAAGAGCAGCTCAAACGCGATAAGGAAGAGCAGATGCTCCTTATGCAGGACCTTCACGCTATCTTCGGGAAATAGATAAGGGAGGTGAAGGATAGGGTTGCTCAACATGACAACCGCCTGTCGGAAGCTGAAAGCCGAATCGATCAAGTGAACAATCGGGTTGACAACGTGATGGCTGACGTGAAGAAAACGTTGGACGACCTCAAACTTGGGGATGGAATTACAGCTTCCGTGGTAGCATCTTCACTATGTGAATTCAAAGTGCCGCCGTTCGATGGGAATTCTTCTTCTTCCTGGTCGGCCTACAAAATTCAGTTCGAGGCTGTCATGAAGACAAACGGCTGGAACAAAAGTCAGGCCATGACTGCTCTCACTCTAGACCTGCGCGACCAGGCTTTGACTGTTCTGGAAGCTCTTAGTAAGGAAGTGACCTACGAGCATCTCCTTGAGGCATTGGAGGCGAGATATGGCGACGCTCACCTGGATCACGTCTTTCGGACGCAGCTCAAAGATCGCGTGCAATGCAGCAACGAAAACCTGCAGCAGGGGGCCCTTGAAGTGAAGAAGCTGGTTCAAAGTATATCAGTCTGTACCTGCGCTCATTGAAGGGAACCTGGTGCAGACATTCAACGACGACACCCGTGACTTTGAAGTCAGAGCTGCTGTGAGGCTTGGGTACCACATGATGCTTAAGGTCGCCTTGGTCCATGCACTGGAGGTGGAAGCCGTGCGGAAGGATCATCGTTCCCATCGCGTCAGGGCGATTGCAGCAGCTACAGTTTGCGACCGCAATAAAGGATACATCCCTAGGTGCTACGGCTGTGGGGAAATGGGCAATCTTCGATCCAGTTGCCCTAAGCAAACTGTAGAAAGGGAAGGTGCTAGATCTCGAAAGGGTTGTGTGGCTAACAGCACCGTCTAGCGCAACGGGAAATCTCACGGCAACGCAGATGTATTGTCAAGAAGACCTTGTCCTGAAGATTGCAAGCATTGTATTAGGTAAGACGGTAAGGAAGTGGTATTTGTGAGGATTCTCAGGATAGACCAGCTCAACAATGAGTGGAAGGACAGCCTAAAACATGCACATCAGGAAGATTCGGACATCCAGCCGATTCTGGAATGGATGAAGGACATTGCTCCTAAGTCCAAGTGGAGCGACGTCTCAGCGACGAGTTTGACCACGAGAAGCTATTGGGCCTAATGGGACAGCTTGCTGATTCAGGATGGAGTCCTGTGCCGTGAATCGGAAAATGGTCGGGGAGACAGTTGTCATTTGCAAATGGTTGTCCCTAAAGCTAAAGTACCGGTAGTTCTACAGCTGTACCGTAATGATTGTTCAGGAGGCCATCAGGGAGTTAAACGAACTCTACTGAAGATCCGAGAACGGTTTTACTGGGTCCACTGTCATGACGCTGTCGAGGACTGGTGTCGCAAATGTACAAGTTGTGCGGCTGTAAAGGGACCTCCGACTCGTAGTAGAGGTGCATTGAAATTGTACAATCATGAAGTCTTCTGTCGTTTTGGATTACCTTAAGAGATTCACAGCGATCAAGGAAGGAATTTTGAGTCAGAAATATTCCAGGAACTTGCCGGAGTTATAGGTACTTATAAAACAAGAACTGCTTCTAACCATCCACAATTTGATGGAATGGTAGAATGATTTAATAAGATATTGGAGAGGTACCGAGCAAAATTGTGGAAAATAGGCAACGATACTGAGACAAGCACAAACAACCGTTTTTGTTGTCATATCGAAGCGCTGTTCTCGAAAGTACATCAGTGACACCAGCTTTTGCAAACTTTGGAAGAGAACTACGACTGCCTGCAGACCTGATTACCGGAATACCACCTGATGCCCCACGCAGTATAACCGATTATATTTATGAGCACGTCAGACATTCGGGCCAGCAAATGTCTGAAAAGATGAAAACCCGGTATGACCGCAAAATGAACAACAAAGGGTTCGGCGAAGGTTCACTTGTGTGGTTGCACAATCCAGTTCGCAGCAAAGGGAAATCTCCTAAGCTTCAAGCTAAATGGGACGGACCGTACCAGATTGTGACAAGGATTAATGACGTAATCTACCGGATACAAAAAGGTGCAAGACGTACTCCTAAGATCGTCCATGTGGATCGACTGGCGCGTTATTATGGCCCCGATAACACTCGGGACGAGCATGTCTTAGGAGGGGGCAGTGTTGAGCGCCACCATTAATGCCTGGTAAATGGCAACACTAGTTACCACTAGCGCCCTCTAGTATCGAGTAGCAGAACTGGGAGAGTCAAGATCCATCTATAAATTTCCATGGAAGAACTTTCTAGAACTATCAACACATAGTCAATCGGGAGCAGTATGTACTCGAACATTCTAAATGTTTTTACAATAGAAGATTCTAGAACTATCTTAGGCCCTACATAAGGCCGGTATAGACCGCGACCGGAATCAGTGTTGGCGTTACAAGCGAACTAAATTGAGTAGTAGTACAATTGTGTTTTGTTATTAGTGTGGTTTTAAGTTGTAATTAGTGTTCTGTAATTAAAGTGTCTAGTTTGGTAATTCACTCGGTAGTTTTTAATTGTCTCGAACCCCAACCTCGTAGCAGTATTATTAGGAGGACGTTGTTATCCATCTCCTGGTTTGTTACACTTTATCAACTCTTGCGACACGCACAGGACCATGTGGGTTAGGTGGATATTCTTAGACCATGTAGAATTAGACCGTCCTGTCAAACAGAAAATTTAATAAAACAGCGTTTAAATAAGAGTATACTTACTTTTCTTCTTGTGGTAAATTCAGTGTAATTGTCGCTTCAATAGTATCCCCATATTTGAGATAACCAAAAACACCGATAATAATGTAAAGCGTTATTATAATAGCCATGCCCAAGTTAAAAAGTCCGAAAAATCCTACGAAACGTTTTGGTTCCTCCATATTATATTCTAAAGCAAGGACCTGAAAATGTATATCATGAAACTTAAATACTACTTGTAGTTTCAGCTGCAAATCGCCTCGCCCCGTTTGAGGATAATGCTGGAAAATTACAATGGGCTTAGTTATGAAATTCAAATATAAGATAATTTATATATGCTACGAACCACTCCAACGGCTTCAAGTGCAAACAATGCTGTTCCTATAAATAAAGGCACTGCATTTAAGTTTTTTATTTTTAGTTTTTCCGTTTCTAAAATCACATCGTCCTCTACTAAGTAAAAGAATACTAATATCAACCCAAAAATCGTTAAAATGTTCGAAATCGATGAAAGTGGAGTCATCAGCTTCAGGTCTTTCACCAAATTTATTATGATCAGTGGTGCAAGTACAATGCAAATGTGCGTTCGTAATGATAATTCGTAGCCATGAAAGTCTAAAACCTGTGAACAAAAGATCAAGATAAGCGGCATACGAGCACAATAACAGTATATGAGGATTAGACTAATTAACATCTGTAATTATAGATTTAGTCTATAGGAATTGGATGGTTTACTAGGCTACTATTATAAGCGTTGAAGTGAAACCCTAACTTCCGCTCCTTACTACCTTCCACTATTACTTCTTCAATATGAGCTGTATTAAAGTTATTTCTCTCCGTATGCATTTGGAGATCTGTCAGTTGCTCATGTGCTGTCCTATTCGTATGTTGAAGAGTACAGCTTCATTTCACGTCCAATAATGATTAAGAGTGTCATCGGAGAGTTTTCAGTTCTTTTACCACCGGTCTTACAAAATTTATCACCGGCCGCAAGGAGAGTTTTCACGAGCTTGTCATTCATCGTCCACTGTATTTTAATTATTTAGACACGCAAAACAGTTTTGTAATTTAAGCTGAGAGTTTTCGGAGTAGGACGGGAATTCATTAAACGTCACCTCTAAAATCAAACTCATTTTTCGGCGAAACTTAAGGGCCAGACTATGTCCACTTTCAAAGCGACTGCTTCTGAAAAAAATAGTTAATCAAAAAATCATCTTGCCTTTTCCACGAGTCGGCCAGCAGTTGACCCCTTGGGTTCCGATACCCTATCCCAAATTTACCCTATACCAAATTTCTTTAATTTCACCTCGCCGTCCTTGCTTGTGCCTATTATTGCATTCAAGTCTACCAACAACACCGTTTAGAAGGTTTTAGAGGAAGAAACGCATGGCACTATAGATATACTAATACGTCTGCTCCACCACCTCTTCGGGATGTGCTGTGGATGGTGCGGTTTCTTTATATCGTTACCCATATTTGCCATAGTTAACACGTTTTGCAGGCGGGTTGGAAAGCGTAGTTTTTATTTTCTAGGTATTGTTAGAAAGATGCTGTTGCCCATCTCCTGGTTTGTCTCACCTTATTGCCTCTTACGACACTCACGGGCCGATATGAGGTAGTGGATATTCTTACATCGCCACTACACGGTCTAAGTAGTAAAGTAATTTATCTTACTTGCTTAATGTTTTCGGCGACAAACACAAAATAAATAACGCATATTCCTAGCTGCCACAACACGAGCACAATGTCCACGAAATAGTATAGCGAATTGGCGGACCAACGTAGGCTTTTGGGCCCATCCTGCAACGCCAACAGCATGGACTTTGGGTACGCTATATAACCTCGTCGCCATCGTTTGCATAGCTCGTACTGCGCTGCAATCTGCATACATATATTCTATATTAAACAGAATAGGAAGAAAAAAGTTGTTTAAATTATATAAAGACTAAATTCAACTATCGTTGGATCTCGTTGTCATTTTTAGGTCACTACTGTGTAAAAAGTATACTCAATCGGTACATAAAAATCAGCCAAATCGGCTAACTAACCTCGGAGATATCGTGTTATATAAATGAAGGAATGGAATTAAATGCCTCTTTTATTGTAAAAGTCAATCGAAAGCGGAATTAAAGCATAGAATATTCTATGATTGTTAACTTCTAATGGTAAATTACGCACCAATAATTGTATGCAGTACGTAGCGAAAGCACCGACAATTAAAAGTCCAATTATGCTTGCGATTATGCCCACGCGATAGACAGCCGATGGCATCGCCAGCACACCAGCTCCAATACTACCTTTTAGCAAATGGATCATCGTTTCCGAGTATCTAGAGAAGGAAACATATAAAAGTATTATAAGCATGAGTTTGATTTCTTTGAATATAGGGAACTATAGTACCAGCAAGTAACATTATTAGTGAAGATTCTTCCGTTCCTAAAATGGAAGCATGGTCTAATCTAGTTATACAATGTTTTTTTTGTGCGTGTTCAGTTTGAGCTGTTAGACTGGGTAATGGCTTCTATAGTATGCGAGCAGCTTAACTACGATTATCACTGGCTAACACAAAATTGATTTTGTCCACAAATTTACCACGCGCTCAACGGAAAGTAAAACATCATGAAGTAACCTAGTACGTACCAATTCAGATAGCACGGCGAATTCTTCCTTTCTCAAAGATTCTCTCTGTATATATGTAGTAGTAATTATAGTTCTGTGGTTAGATGTGGGACGTTTGTAGGTTTTTGGTTTTATTGAATCAGCTTTAATTTAATACGTATTGTTAAAGTAGTAATAACACCTCACATCAACCAGTGCTTTTAAAAAAGTGACTAGGATTTAAGAGCGGAGCAGACCCAATTCGTATACAATACAAGCACGTGCTTTGCGCATTGCAGTACTTGTTGTAGTGGATGAAATTGTACGGAAGAATTCTGAACGCGTAACGCAGGTAGCATTTAACAGCCATTTCAGAAATAGGTCTAGAAATTTAAAAGTGCAGCAATGACGAGAGCAGATTTAAGGCGCGAGAAGGGTGTTACTGATATGCTTTAGTTATTGTTTTGAGAATAATAAAGACGTAACTTGCGGAAATAGTGCAAGATAAATGAAATAAATTATAAAGGAAATGTCATAAGTTCCGGCAGAACTGTATTAATCTTAGAGTAATAATAAACCCACAGACAGACACATATACATAACAATCCGCCCGGCTTCACAATGGTGATTTCTGGATTTCCACAACAGACTACTATTAATATGAATAGACTACTAATACTAAAACATCTAGGGACCCATTCAAACCCACACAAAAAATTATTAAAATTGGTCTAGCCGTTTTTGAGTTTTAGGGAGACTAACTGACAGCAATTGATTTTTGGAGACACACATATTTTACATTCAACAAATCGATGAAGTCCTGTAATAAAACATGGTATTTTCTTTTTAAGTTACCAAGAGAAAAAGAATATAAAAACTCTTCTGTTTCCATGCGAGTGTGGCCTTGGACAGAAGACAGTAGCAGAATATGACAAACGTGACAAAAATAACAAACAAGCATACAGTTCACCTGATGCTCATAGTATGCCAGTGCTGTAGTTCATAGACACTCCACATCTGTTCTAGAAATTTCACCTCTGAGAACTAGGACTAGTAACCAGTAAACATCGTCCTGGATTTGAAATACATTATGTACTTAATAAACTTTATTTACTCGTAGTTAAATATATATATGACTTTACTTACGTTGTTGGTTTTTCCACTTTTCGATGTCGATGGGGATCGTAATCTTCTTCATCGGCTACAACATTTAATTATATTAAAAGACATCCACTTTTTTAATAAATGAAATTTCAAAAACTTACTTCCAGTGATTGTTTCGACGACACCTGACATAAACTCGTATATAAACATTTTTCCTCGATTTCTGTTTACTTCAGGACAAAAGATCAATAAAGAAAATGTAAATTAATTGCCTGGAATTTGTAAATTCGTGTCTCATTAACCTAGTAATTCGTTAAAAATCATCGTTATGTATAAAATTATAATAAACATTATTCCGTGTTGTCACTGTCAAGAATAATATTGGTAATAGCTGGCAATAGTGTCCTCTTCATAGATTAATAAATTAATAAATATTAAATTAATATGTATTTGAGAGTTCTGTTAGTCTGAGAGCTGGCCAAAGAGAATATAACCACTACGTTTAGAGCTGGCGACGAATTTTGGGAAGGTCCTTTGGGCAAGTTAAAATTGTGAAAAAATATAATTTCGTCAATTGGCAAATCCAGTCCCGCGAGTCTGGCAGAGCGTTAGCGGTTATTTCGTTAGGTACTGCGCAGCATATAACCTTTGCAAAAAAAATTCAAAAAAAATGTTTTTATGGCAACTTGATATCTTTTTTATCTTTTAATTTAATTTTTATATATTTCCAAAAAAATAATCCCAGACATTTTGCGAGAAATTATCAAAGCATGCCGATAGCGGATGGGGGCCTAAGCTCCTCGCGCTGTGATTGGTTATTAAGAAATATCTTTTTTAAAGATTTTAAGACTAAATTCTTGTTTTGGGATTTAGCATGTATGTATGCGCATATATAAAAACTAAATTAAAAGATAAAAAGAATTCAAGTTGCCACAAAATCATTTTTGGAATGTTTTTTTGCAAATGTTATATGCTGCGCAGTAACGAAATAACCGCTAACGCTCTGCCAGACTCGCGGGACTGGATTTGCCAATTGACGAAATTATATTTTTTCACAATTTCAACTTGCCCAAAGGACCTTCCCAAAATTCGTTGCCAGCTCTCAGACTGTTTTTCTGTGCATTGTGAACTTGACTTTGCACAGAGACTGGCCGCCGTGACCCAACCCTCTATCTACGCCGTGACCGAAATTCCGTGTGGAAGACATTATCACAAGTTTAACTTGATAGAATATATTCTAAGTCTATGGTTAAAGGCAACAACTAGGATTTATTTTAAATCATTAAAAACTTTATCTCCTATTTTGCTATAGATATAGTTTAATTACTGCCTAAGTCATGTAAAAAAGTAAAACGAAGGCTTCAAAATTAAAAGCATCCTGATTTCGATCCTTACAGCTATGAATGAAATTGTCAATAGCAAATTTATTGCAGTATTTTCTCTTGACTGTTGCTGCAAGAGAAAGTATCGTGGAGAGAATTCTCATATCTGAGACACTAAAAATCCTTTCGAGAACAACTTCTTTTCCGTCTAAGGCGCAAATTATACAAGGGCGTATAATTCACGACACACCGCTTTCATACATTTTATACGAAACAGTTTGAAGCGGCAGTTTTTTATAGAATAAGGGTGACAAACGAGCACACAGTCCACTTGATCTACATTTATCCTCGATTACGAATCAAAATGCAGATGCGTTGTCACCCTTGAGGCCTAAGATGAAATGTCTCGTTTCCAGTAAAAAGGGTCTCCGGTTCTCTACACTCACCATACGAAACACAGCAGTGTTAGTCTGCTATTTTACGCTGGTATTCTGTGAGAGCGTGGTCTTTCCCCGGTCGAGGCAACTCATTAATATTACAACTATACTACTAATATAGCTGCAGCATGGCTCTACCACGTCCAAAACCTATCATTATTATCATCATCATCATTACAGCTTTTCATAAGTCCACTGCTGAACATAGGCCTCCCCCAAGGAATGCCACAAAGCACGGTCCTGAGTCACCTGCATCCATCGACTTCTTGCATGTCTTACCAGGTCGTCACTCCATCTCGTGGAGGGTCATCCTACACTTCGCCTACGGGTACGAGGCTGCCACTTGAGAACCTCTCTTCCCCATCGGTTGTCGGTTCTTCGAGCTATATGGCCGGCCCACTGCCACTTCAGCGTACTAATCCGTTGGGTTATGTCAGTTACTCTGGTTCTACTGCGGATATCCTCATTTCTAAGTTTATCACGCAGAGAAACCCCGAGCATAGCCCTCTCCATAGCTCGCTGAGCGACCTTGAGCTTCCTATTACGGCCAGCAGTGAAGGACCACGTCTCAGATCCGTAAGTCATCACTGGCAACACGCACTGATTGTACAATTTCGTTTTCAGGTTTTGAGGTATGTCTAAAACCTATATGCCAACAGAATCTAGGGATACCCTAATCCTAAAATTTCGACTTTGTAGTTAAAAATCGTTTTAGTTTCCATAAAAAGTTTATATACAGATTGAAAACTCTTTTATTCTATTTTCAAAATTTTTAAATGTTAATAAAAAAAACAAGACAAAAAAATATGGCGGGAAAATTATTAGTAATTTTTTACGTCAAGGAAAATGAAAATTGTTCTACTGATATTAATTAATGGATATGGATTAGATTGTTCTTCTTTTTTAATTTAACTTGCCGTGTGAGCGTAAGAGTTATATCACGTCGTCATTTGAATCGAGATGAAATGTTACGAGCCGTGGGTATATTAGAAAATGGTGCTATTCAACGTGTCGTTGCTGAGGCCTTGCACACCAGCCAAAACGTGATATCAAGGTTGTGATCACTTTATCGCAGTACTGGGGATGTGGCTGAACGGCACACGAATAGATATCGTCTTACTACGCAGAGACAGGATCGATTTCTCCTAATGGTCGCCAGAAGACAACCTAATATCACAGCGATGCAACTACTACAAAGGCTCCAGGAGGACCATCAGCTGCTGGTAAGCGACCAAACCATGCGAAGGAGGTTGCATGAAGTTGGTCTTCATGCTCGAAGACCGCTACGTGTTCCAGCATTGCGACGTGGCGATCGAGGTCGGTGGCTTTCGTGGGCTCGGGAGCATTTACCATGGAATGGGGAACGAAATGTCTTTGGTGCTGTGCACCGATGAGTTCAGGTTTGGGCTTCATCCGGATTCACGAAAAACAAGCGTTTGGAGAACTCCAGTGACAGTTAGCCGTCTACCTCCCCCTCAAGAGGTCCACTCATACTAATGCGGGACGATCATGGTGTGGGCAGGAATTCGTCTTGGCGGACAAACCCAGCTCGTTTGGATTCAAGGCAGCATGACTGCACATACATAGCACGAGGAGGTAGAGCCTATTATTGTCCCACACAGAATCCAAATAAGCCCGGAATTTCTACTCATGCACGATAATGCTCTTTCCTATACGGTGCGGCTGGTATCGGCCGCTCTCCGAGACTACGATATTCATGTTTTGGATTGGCCACACGATCGAGGATGCCTGGGACGTGTTACAACGAAACGCTTTGAGAGATTTCCCGCCGAATTTGACGACGGAACAACAACTTTACGAACACTTGCAAAAACATGGGATCTCATACCGCAACAAGACATTGACAATTTAATTTTAAGTATGAACAATCGATGTCGATGTGTAATTAACGTAAGAGGCGACAACTCTGATTAATAATAATTCGATTTTATAAGATTTTTAATTTTTTTTTAAAATTAATAGTTTTATAAGAAGAAATGAAGTTTTGTTTTATCACTAATTTTCTACGGCGATTAAAAATTAACATTTTTATTTTAAACAAAAAATTACGAAATGTGTTTCATTTTTTATTAAATACCTTAAAATAATCTATCATTCTTCCAGTTACTATATTCACATAACATATCCCTAGATTCTGTTGATGTGTGAACGTTAGTTAAGCTAAAGAGAATTTAGTGATTATAATATGCATAAATTAGGCATATTTGATTGCAAAAATTAACTTTATCGATGTACGTGGGTTTAAAATGCCTGGTTTTAGTCTGTGCATTGCGCGTTAAGAAATTTTTTGTTCAAAAAACATGGTTGCGTGTGAATCACTTAAAACAGACAAAAGACGATATAAATGAGAACCACTCAAACAAGTAGAAGGAAGGCTTACTAACTGGTATAAGTAGAGTTCACTTATATGTACGCCAAATTCAGTTCCGAATCATAAGGGACGCGCATGCGGTGTAATGTCTTGCCACGTTCGACTGCAGTGCCTTCATCGACGGCTCCAACGTTACCAGCCCTCAGTTGATTCAGGTCTCTGCAAACTAAAAACGATATTGTCGCCGCGCGGTACGTTTTCAAAATGACGTAAGAATTACGCAACGATGATTCTGTTTCATCTTTAAGAATTTCCATAAAAATGGACGCTTATCTAACAAATTCATGAATCAAAAATTGTGTGTTTTTAATTTATTAATTGTATAATTATTAAAATAGCGTACAATACTATTAAAATTGTAAGGTAAGTACAATTTCATTATAGTCGTTGCTTCATTACGTAGGCCAAGTAATAATACCAAAATAAAACTAAAATGACGTTTCCTTTGCTTGAAAAAATATTTGACTTGTATGGGTTGTAATAATAATGATTATCACTTATAAATAAAGTTTATCTATAAGCTTACTTTCCTAAAAAATATAGGGCAACTGACTTAATTTATTTTATTTCTGAACATTTTTATGAATAGATAAAAATAGTTATATTGATAATTAGATGATATCCTTATCACTTTCATGTTTTATGAACTAATATTTTTTTAAGTTATGAGGTGGCCAAAGTTATATTTCATTATATAGGCGTAGTGCGCGTGTATGAGCGTGTCCTGTACCTACATGAGCGTGTGCGTACGAGTGTGCGTGTGCGTGTGTACGGGCATGCGTGTGTTTGAGGTATGATTTCTGTAACATTAATTATACTTTAATGTTTAAGAAATTATTAGAAAATACTGTATAACCTAGATAATCAACAACAATAATTATCTTCACTTACATCTCAGACCAATTAAGAAAAACGTTGCGTCAAGTGACGCCGAATACAAACTGATAACAACACAACCTATTGAAAGAACACGCACGCACACATATAGTGCTTTATAGTGCGCGTAGTGCGTTGACCAGAGAACTTTTACGGGCTGTTAAAGTTAATATTTGTTAAGTG